ATTTCTTCGCCTTTGCCAGCAACAGATGCACTTAGATGTGACCGGCAGCCATCCCCACCGCCTTCCCTTGCTGGTGGGGAGAGCTCTTGGGGTGGGGGGGAGACCAGCAAAGCAGCGCAGTTGGAAAAGTGACCTTTATTTAAAAAAAAAAAAGAGCAACAACCCCCCCAAATGTTCTGCAATAAACCCGTAAGTGATAACTTCTCACAACACGTGTGCAGTGTCCATGCTGACCTCTGCAAGGGGTGCGGGCAGGGGGGACACGGGGCAGCCCCCCGAGGTTGGCAGCCATCTCCCCTGCTCCTGCCCCAGCCAGGAGGACATCGCCCTGCTGGAAACGTCACGCCGGAGTAGGGACCATCGCCCACAGCAGGCACTTCTCTGGGTATGTGGATGGGGCTGTGCTCCATCCAGCCCCGGTCCGCCTCCTGCTCCAGGTGGTGGGGGCTGCCCCCTCCCCAAAGCGATGGGCGAGGTGCGGCTGGAGAGCCTGGGAGGAGCTGGTCCCGGGATGGGGCTGGCATGGAGCATCCCGCGGTGCCGTGGGCTGCAGGAGAGGAGCTCAAGAGCTGCTAAGGTGAAGTCGCTCCCTTAGAAGGAAAAACAAACCCAAAAAAGACAAAGTACTGGCAGTGGGTAACGGGGGGTGTGGAGTCAGTCCTCGGGCGGGCTACACCAGCCCCGCTGCCTTCTCCTGCACGTTGTACTCCTTGCTCCTCTTCACCTTCCAGCCGATGAGGGCCAGGAGGACGGTGCCCACCACCTTGTAGCCCACCTGCAGCCCCAGGTATCTGTCGGGAGAAGAGCAGGGAGACGCTGTGGCTGGAGGTGGCACCTCCAGCCGGCACCAGGCTGAGCCGGGGACCATCCCTGTGGTCATCCCCGCTGCGGGGGGACACACGGCAGGGGTACCTGTTGCGGAGGAAGTCGTTGTTGTAGTAGGCGCAGAACCGGCGCTGGGTGCACTGCTTCTGCCAGTAGATGCAGGAGGAGTCGATGAGGGCACCGAACATGGCTGGAG